TAGCTCACCAAAACGCGTCACACTAGTGAAGGTATCCACAGCCACTTATATGGTTTGTTTCGTTCCCCTTCACAACCGATGTGGGGTGCTACTCGACTTTAAGTTTAAAATGTGGGGTGCTACTCGACTTTAATCTTATATCTTTAATCTCTTATGCATGCGACCAAGTAAATTCATTCTAGAATTAAGGCCATGAATAATACCGAATAAAACATGCCTATTATGAAAATCTGACATAATGCAAAATCTGAAATAGTAGTCTGGAATCTGACATCTGAAACTCAAGTCTAACACGCGGAAGAAAGTACAATTTCAAAAGACATACAAGCATAAAACAAGCATAGGTAATGCAAACATGTTCAGATACTATATGACATGTTTTCACAAAAATGTCCTGAAGCTGGACCAACACCACACATCTGCTCACGCTGCACGCGCTCCGTCATCTGAAAAAGAGGGTAGTGGGGAGGCGTGAGAACAAAGGAATCAACGATGCTCTGCCAGAACCGGCAGTGAATACTCAACACAATTAGAAACAAACTATGAAATCAACATATATATGAATAAACTGGTCTGACTATGGGACTAACGGTAAACCGGTACTCATGTGCACACTCTGGGGGTCCCCTCCCACAGAAACCTAGGATAGGCACTAATCACCCCATCTGGACGCTAGACTTAGGACGGGCCCTAATCACACACATCCAAGTCATAACTGAAATACTGAAATATTGACCAAGACGGGATCACTCTGTAACGCCCTGTTTTATTTTAAAGAATTTGTTAGGTTTATTAATGAAAATCAGAGTAAAAGTTTTACAAAAATTAAATTTTAAACTTTATCTTAAGGGGCGCTACTTAAATCAACTAACAAGGTAAACAATTTAGACATCCACGATGGTTCTAAACATGCGGTCTATCAATTATAATAATCAAATCAAATCATTCATAAGTTTTCAAAACTAATCCAAAACATCATGACTCCAACGACATGTTCAAAAGTTAAAATGGAAGCATAATAATCCATAAGTAATAATCCAACATATAAAAAAAAAAATAGATAAAGCGGAAGCAAAGACATGACAATCCAAAGACCACCACTTGCTCGTCTCTCGCCATCGCCGCCAACAACGCTCAACCTAAAGATAGGAAGAGGAAAACAAGAGGACAAAACAATAATGGCGGTGAGCAAAACCACTATGCTCACCAATATCGCATAAGTCTATCTCGCATAAAGATCCAAAACAATAATCGTAGTATGCATAGAATCCAGGTCTAACTCCCTAATCGGCCCTATCGCAAAATCTCCTATGTACATACAACAACCTTCCGATCAGAAATCGATAAGGTGTAACTGGAAACCTTCCCACCCCAGCTCGACATGGGCTAAGGGATCCTTTCCAGGAGACAGTGGAGCCAAAAAGGACCCCCCCGAACATCACACGGATCAGGGCGTCAGCCCCCGAAACTCACACACGGATCAGGTGACCTCTCACTGTTTTCGCATTCATCAAAGGCACTATAGGCGAGACGCCCCTGGCGGTGTAACACACTAGACTAGGGTTCTCAGACATACTAAAGTTATCGAGACGAATATTTATACGAAATAACGAAATGCGATAATTATAGATACACAAATTGTACACCTGGCAAGAAAAAAAAATCGAGATATTCACAAAATAAGTGTAGGCGGCGGGCTCAACTCGTCAAGAACCTACGTTTAATAAAAATAGCCTATAAATGACTATTCAAAAAAATCACTTAGTCCAACTAAGTTCACATAAGCATTTAATCAAGGAAATTCCATTTCT